CAGCCCCCCTTACCCTGTGCTGTAGGTGGAGGGACAGTGAGTCAGGGACTACAGGCTTCTTCCCTCGGAGTCGTTCCCACTGTAGCTGCAGGTCCAGACTGAGGCCCAGGTTACTGCTTAGTGAGGAGCGGGCCAGCAGCTGGGGCGACAGAGATGTCGTCACAGGGTGGCAGCAGGGTCATGGGGTCAGGGCAGAGGTGGGAGGGATGGGAGGCCTTACCTGGGATGCCCTGCTGTGCACACCCCGACGTGTGGCTGGGATAGGTAAGGGGACTCGAGGAGGATGGGCAAAGCGCCGGCCCATGGCTCCCGGCTCCTGTCGGGCGAGGGCTGCGGGCGCCGTCGGGCCTTCAGTGCAGACCCTGGGCTGCCAAAGACCGCTGGCAACTCTGCGTACGGTGCACACGTCCCAGGTCTCTCTCTCCACGGTGAGGGTCGTGGTGCTCCACTGCTGGAACTCTCTTCCAGGAGGCACATCCTGGGAGGGATGCAGGGGAGATGGGCCGTGTCAGAGCCCCTGGGTGAAGGGAGGGGCTGGAGTCAAGGCTGAGCCCAAGGGAGGCCCCACACCCACCAGCAAGCCCCGGCCATAGATCAGGTGCAAGTAGTTGTCAAACGCCTCCTGCCGCTGTTGCCAGGAGGGTGGGGGTGGGGCTGTGGGGACCACCAGCTCCAGCCTCAGCTGCTGCAGGCCTCGGTCCCGGGCAGCTAGGGCTTCCAAGTCCTGCGGGAGGGGGTGGGGGTCAGCTCATTCCTCCTTTGGTCTTGTCATCTGCTTCCCAGACAACCCCAGGGACCCCGGGGTGTACCCCAAGGACTGAATGGGAGTGGCCTGGGCCCTGGCCAGGTGCGTGGTTGGGGTGGTGAGGGGCAGGGCCCGGTCCCCATCCCACCTCCTCCAACACTGGCCGTGGAGGTGTCGCTGTCTGGCGATGGATGGAAGCTGAGTCTGGGCTGCAGACAAGGATGGGCACAGGTGCGACACTGGGTATCTTCACCAGGTGGGTCGGGGGGATGCTGGGACAAGGACTGGGCTGGGGTTGGCCAGGCCTCTGGCAGGAGGACAGCTGTCAGGGCTGGGTTTGGCTCACGGGGGGCGGGGAATGGGGGCTAAGTGGCCCCAGCGCTCTGCGGCATTGTGCTGGGGTCACACAGCCAGGCCCTGACTCAGGGGAGGTGGGCGGGGGCCTCCCGACAGCTCAGCTGGGCCTGCCGCAGACCTAAGACTGGGCGTCCCCTGGAGGTTGGCGAGCCTCTGCAGCTGGGCGGGGGTCAGCGACTCCTGGCTGGTCAGCGGCAGTGGAGGGTCAGGCACCACATCAGGGACCTTCTGGCACAGGCTCTGAGCAAGAGAAAGGAACCTAGAGCGCTGGCCTGGGGCGGGGGGCTTGTCTGCCCATAGTGGCCCCAACCTGCCCATCCCATGCTCGCCGTGTACCTTGACCAGGTACGATGTGGGCAGGTAAAGCCTGTGAGACACCAGGCAGAGCCAGGAGCCCAGAGCCAACACCAGGTCCCCGCTATCACTGCTGAAGGTCAGGCCCTGAGGGGGGCCATTCAGCTGCAGGAGCCTGGAGGGGTGTCAAGGGACAGGGTCCAGCCCTGCTCCACAAAGTCAGAAGCTGAAACCCTGGCAGGGGCAAGGCCCTGTTCCTTGTCCAGCCTGCAGGCTCTAGTGGGGGGAGAGGGAGGAGAGCCCAGCTGGCCACCCACGGGCTCCCAAGCCCTCTCTCCGTCCCTTCCACCTCCCAGCCACAGCCCACCGCAGCAGGCGGTTCTCCGCCGTCCAGATGCGCACGGAGCAGTCCAGGCTGGAGCAGGCGTACAGCCGGAGCGAGGGACAGCAGCACAGGCCTGAGGGACCGGGGCTCGGGTGAGGGACCAGGGCCCCGCAGCCCCTCGGGCTTTACTCCTGCCCTGCCGGCTCACCGGTGATATGGTCCGTGGGGTCATCCTGGGGCCGGTGATCAGAGCGGGGGCTGTCGCCCAGGCCAAACTGCACCAAGCCATAGGTGGCGCTGTCGGGGTTCTCAAAGGCCACCGTGATGCGCCGGCCAAGCGCGCAGAGCCCCACGGCGGGGTGGCAGCAGGAGAAGGTGCGCAGCAGGCTCAGGCTCTCCTCGGCGTAGGGGTAGACGCGCCACATCTTCACGGTCAGATCTCCGCCTGCGGGGGCGGGGGGGGCGGGAGCCGGGGCTGGACCTTTGCGGGGCGGGGCGGGGACCCCCAGGCCGGCTATGGGGGCAGGGGAGATATGGACCGGAGGACACGACGCTGTTCCAGGTAGACGCGATGGCGGTGACAGGGCCCGGGCTGTGCGCCTCGGTCTGGAAGACGGTTTTCGAGCGGCGCCACTCCAGGACGGACAGGGCGCCATCCGTGTGCCCCAGCACGGGCAGGTACCTGTGCAGGACATCCCCCGTCGGCTCGGGCGCCGCCGCCCCGCCCCGCCCCGCCCGGACGCAGCGCGCGCACCCGGGCACCCACCGGTTCTTGTCCTTCCAGGCCCGCGGCGCGTCGCGGCGGCCCGGCTCCCCCGCACGCCGGCACACGGCCTGCCAGCTGGCCCGCGCGCCGCCGGGGTCGGTGAGGTGGCTGTAGAGGTGCAGGCAGCAGGGCCTGCGCGCGGGGGCGGCGGGCGGGCACACGCGCCGCAGCACGCGCATGGGGCAGCGCGCCGCGTCTGCGCACACCAGGTGGCCGGCGCGCGTCAGCAGCCACAGTGCCTCGCGCGGGAGGCAGTAGAGCACGGAGGCCGCGCGGTCGTCGGGCTCCAGCAGCAGCGCGCTCACCGTGCGCCCGGTCGCCGCCGCCACCAGGTAGACCGAGCCGTCGGCGCAGGCGCACACGAGGCGCGCCGGCAGGAGCGGGTGCGCGGACGCGGGCAGCGCGGGCACCAGCTGCAGGTGAAGCACCGGCGCCGACAGCTGCGCCAACGGCGAGTAGAGCTCGCGGAGGCGCCACAGGCCCACGCCGCTGGTGCTCAGGGAGAGCACCGGCCAGCCGGGGCCAGCGGGCGCCAGCAGGCGGGTCACGAGCCCACACGCAGCGCCCCGGCCCCGGCAGCTCAGCGCCACCTCGCCCACCTGTGCCGCCGTCTGCAGGTCCCATGTGCGCAGCGTCCCATCCCGCGAGGCCGACAGCACCCGGGACGTGTTCGGGAGTACCGCCAGAGCGGTCACTGGGCCTGTAGGAGGGGCACGGGTCACTTGGGCGCATGGTCAGCCTGGGATGCGGCCAGCGCGGGGACACTTGGCTGGGGCTGGCAGAGCTTCCGGACAGCCCCGAGCTACTTCCCGCCGGCCGGGCACAGCATGGAGAGAGAAGGAGCCTCAAGGCCGCCACAGCACGGCTCACCTGTGTGGCCCATGAACACCATCCGGATCTGCCAGTCAGCCTCCCACACCTTCACCGTGCTGTCTCGAGAGGCTGTCACCAGTGCTCCCACCTCTAGGCAGTAGGCCACGTCCCAGATAGTGCTGAAGGGGAAGAGGAGGCCCTGGCCCGCTCAGCACCTCCTGCCATGGGAGCTGCTGTGCCCCTGCCATGACCCGCTTGCCCTCCGGGACTTGCCTCTCCCTGCCACCCACCCTTTCTCCCTGTCCCTAGGTGCCCCTCACGTTTTGTGCAGGTCCCGGCGCACGTCTGCCAGAGCCCAGGTGTGCAGATCGAAGGTGAGCACGGCTGAGCCATAGGCCGCGAAGCAGCATGGGGTTTGGTGGGAATGTGGGGGCCCCAGAACCAAACGGGTGAGTGTACCTGCAGGACTCGGTGGCAGCTGCAGAGGTGACCCGCGTGGCACCAGGCGGCGACCCCCTGAACGGAACTCCCAGAGCACCAGGCTGCCTCCTGCCTCTGCCACTAGCAACAGCCTCAGGCTGGGCACTGGCAGACAGCAGATGGGCTCGTGGCCCGGCACCCTGCCCACCCCTGGCTCACTCAGCCACAGCAGGCTGAGGTCAGGCCTTAGGATGGCCAGCCCCTCGGGGCCCCAACCCACAAAGCGGCTAATGGTGTCCAGTGGGCCCTGCATTGCCACCAGCCCCGTGAGCATGGCCGGGGCCCGTAGCTTCTTGTCAGCCCAGCCGTCCTCTCTGTGCACATGCAGGTTGCCTACACCATCCAGCACCACGAAGCGTCTGCCCACGGGGTCCTGTGCCACCGAGCACAGCCCAGCTGCCACTTTCAGATGGCGCAACGGCTCCAGTCCATGGGTCAAGCGTGCCACACACAGCTCACTTCTCTTCTCCTGTGGGCCAGGACGGCAGGCATGTGGTCAGCTGAGAGGCAGGGGCGGGTGGCTGGAACGTAGTGCGCCTGCCTCAGGGAGCCAAGGGGATCTGGGCTGAGGGCATACTAGGGACATCTGGGCGAAGAGATGGACCAGGAAAGAGGCCTCGAGGCATGGCCCACAGGCAAGCCCCACCTTTTCCACGAAGTCATGGAGGCCCCCACGGAGAAGCAGCCACAGCTGGCGGGCACGAGCACGTGGGGTCTGGTTCTGCCACCACGAGCTGCCGGTAAAACGCCGTGGGATGGGCTCCGTAAACAGCTCTGCGGGTTAGCAGTGGAAGCGCGGTCACCCTGTGCTCCGGCAGCCCTGACTCTGGAGGCTGCAGCCAGCGCGGGGACCACGGACAGCCCGGGTAGTGTGGCGTCGCCGCAGACGAACTCCCGCCCCAGCGAGGCAGGCCTGCTGTAGTGCGGGCGTGGGGGGGGGCAGGGGGGCCGGGCAAGGCCACCTCACCATTCTTTTCCTTGAGCAGCCCTGGGTCTGGGATGTCGTAGGCGTCGGCATCGTACAGGTCCGGGTCCAGCAGCAGGCTGTCGCCTTCTGCTGAATAGGCGTTGCCCGCCTCTGACACCTCAGTCTCCATTCCAGCGACAGCAGGTCCGGGCGGCTCAACCGCCCCTAAGACCGTTGCTAGGCTACCAGACGCCCCGACCCCGCCTTCGACGCAGACCCCACCCCCAACACAGCACAGAGGTTAGGTCCCCACTAAGTCACAGAAATTTTTATTGGAAACAAACAGCTGCAGCAAAGTGACACTCAGTGCACGCTGCCCAACGGGCGAGGTGGCAGGGGAAGGGTGGGTACTGGTGGGCGCCAGGGGCTGGCCAAGCCCAGGGTGGTGACCGCAGGGGCCTGCTGACTGGATCTCAGGCCCTTGGGCTGGAGTGTGCAGGTCCATGCCTGATCCAGCACAAAATACAAAAATAAACTCTGTAGTCCGGGTGCCCCTGCCGGTGTCAGTTCCCGGGGGGGCAGGGCAGCGGCTCTTCCCACAGGCCCTGCGCTGTCCAGGCCAACCACAACACAGGCAGCGGGAGCCTGTGGGGGGGGGGGCGGGGTAGACATCTGTGGGCGGAGCCAAAGGGCTGGGTGGGCGTGGCCTGGGGCGGCGCCGGAGCCGTGGCAGAGCCAGGGGCTGACCACCAGCTGGGGAGGCCCTCGGGGCCCTCGAGAGGGCAGTTCCCGGCACTGGTTGAAGCTGAATGAAGCTGGGCCTCTGCTCCTCATCCTCACATACAGATCACCGGGACCCTGGCAGGAGGTGGCACGAAAGGACCTCAGAGGAGCCAACACCCAGGGGGTGAGGCAGAGGCGTGCCCACTCTGTCCTGGCCAGCCCCGGCTTCAGCAGCCGCCACACACCTGTCCTCCTCCATGGCGCTCGTCTCCTCGGGCCCGCCCTCACCGCCTCTGCCGCCGCCGCTCTCCTCCTCCTCCTCCTCCTCCTCCTCGTCTCCCAGCTCCATGTCCAGCTCATTGCCTGCCTCCGAGGGGGTGTAGGTGGATCCGCTGGGGGAGGTGCGGGGACTGGTCTTAGCACTGCCTGCCCCGGCCTGCTGCCGAGCCCAGGGAGGGTGTCCGGGAAGGACAAAGTCAGGAGTGGGGTGGGCAGGGCTGGGGAAGCGGTGTACGAGCCAGACAGGAGGCCGGGGAGGCGGCGGACAGGGGCCAACCTGATGGAGCGGCAGCTGAAGAAAACAATCCTCTTCAGCCGCTTGTTGTAGAAGAAGTAGTTGAAGGACCAGAGGCTGCCGTCCTCCCCAAAGGGGTCTGAGTCCAAGTCTGGGTTGTAGCTGGGGAGTGCGGGGCAAGAGGTGGTGTGAAGGCCCAGGGGCGCGCACACCCCGGCCCACCTGCAGGGACGCCAGCCCACCTGTAGATGTCACACTCGGCCAGGCAGATCTCCTCATCCACCGCGTCCCACAGCTGCGGCTTCAGGGCCTTGAAGTCCTCCCGCACGGCTGAGAACAGACTGCAGTTCACGGCGTTCACCACCTAGGACGGTCACAGTCGGGACTGACTCAGGGTGCGGGACCGAGGGCACGTGCCGGGCCAAGCCCAGGGGCCCCTGCAGGTAGGAAGCACAGTAAGCAGAGCTTGGGGTGGGGGGGGGGGGCTGCGAGCCCCTCCCCCGAGCCTGACCCTCACCCAGCTGAGGCTGGGTTCCCTGCTGAACTCATGGCTCCGGGCGGTGCTGAAGTCATAGTCAGGCCGGAAGGACTCGTTGAGCGTGGCGATCAGGTAGAAGAGGGTCTTGCGGCTGCACGTGTCGCTTAGCGGGCCCTCGTCCTCGCCACCTTGGCTCTTGCTCAGTCTGCACGGAGAAACACATCAGCCCGGCACGGGCCCGCCCCCCACAGCCCACAGTGGGCAGACTCTGCTCCGGCTCACCTGCTGGGGCTGAGGCCCGAGGTCTGGGGTGGGGACAGCGCCTCTAGCACGTGGGGCTGGCCCTCTTGGCAGAACTGCTTAAACATGTGCTTGTCGTCGCCTGCCATCTTACATGAGTAGCTCTCGATCCTACAAAGGGCGAGGGGGACCATGGAGCATGCCACCCGGCAGGTTCAAGTCTGGGCCAGGATTTCGTGACCTCTGAGGCCCCAAGGAGCCCAGGCCTCACCTGCCGATGATGTGGGCATCTCCAGTCTCCACTGTCAGCTGTGAGTTGATGGCCTCGAAGCTCGAGTTCTCCAACAGCTTCATGTCCTTGGGGAAGGGGTCCTGCGGTCGGAGGGGCTAGTGTTGCCTCAGGATGGGAAACAGCCCCTGACTATCTTGGCCCTGGGGCTGAGCGTCTGGCCTCCCTAGCCAGTAAGTGGAGCCGTTAGTGACACGCTGGGTCCCTCCTGCGCTCAATCCTGAGCCCTCAGCACTGGCAGGAGAGAGAAACTGGATCCTGTTACCCGAGAGTGGTGGGCCCAGGCTCCAGCTCAGCCAACCCACTTTTCCCCGCCCGATACCGGGGGCGTACCAGGGCTCCTGCTCACGCCAGGGCTCGCTAGCTCATCTCCCTGGACTCCCCGTAAGGCACGGGGCTCCTGCAGGACCTCGGGCTAAGCGCCTCAGTTACGGCCAGGACCTGCACCGGGTCGCGATCCAGCACACCGGGGGCTGGGGGCCTGCGGTCACCGGGACGCAGAGCTCTTCCCTGTGCTACGGGGCCTCTAGCGAGGTGGAGAGGAAACCCGAAGGCCTCCCTGCTCCTCTCCGCAAGGGCGCCTAGTTCTTCGGACACCAAGGAACAGAGGCGGGCACCACGACCCCCGAGGGGCCTGTCGGCCGGCAGCTAGGGCCCGCCAGCGTCAGCCTGGCTGCACCCGCCGGGGCGAAGGAAAACCCCAAGCCAGCCGCGGGGAACTACAAATCCCAGGGTGCCGTGCGCCCCGGGACGCGCACGCGCGCCAGCGCGAAGTCCGCTGGGGGCTGGAGTTCCGGAGGCCCCTGCTCGGCGCCCGGCACAGGGCGGACACCTACCTGCTTGCGCAGCGCTCGGTGTGGCCGGGTCGGGGCGGGCCGGTGGACGTCGGCGCGGGAAAGAAGGCGGTGGGGCTCCGGGCAGCGCGAGCTCCTCAGGACCGGAGGGCGGCGGCGCGGCCTCCGTTCGGGCCGCACTGTATCCGGGGGAAGAGGCTCTGCGGCGACGTCCCGTTACTCCCGGCCCTGCCGGCCCTGCCGGGCTGCCACCGCGACATAGCCTCGCCCCTGCACGGCGACCGACTCCCGCGACCGACCTGCCCGCCGACCGCCACACAAGGCCCGAGAGCGCAAAGGAGCGAGCGAGCGACCTCTGCCTCCCCCGGCCGGACAACAACAAGCGTCTGCAAGGCCCCGCCCCCGCCCCTGAATGGCCCGCTCCAGCCGCCGGGATCGAGAGCTCGGATAACCGTTGGGTGCGCCTCCCGCCAGTCACTCCTAGCGTCCACCTCTATTGGCTGAGGTGCCTGTCCGTCATTCTTTCAGGCCGTGAGGACCCGCCTCCTTCCCTGGTGCTCATTGGTTGCGGCCCTCGCTTGTCCCGCCCCTGGTGTCAGCCCGCGTTTCCCGGAGTGGTTGGCTGACCCACGCGGGGTGGGTGGGCCGGGCAGCCCAGAGGGCAGCGGAGGGCGGGCCGGAAGGAGCTGGGAACGGCGTTCAGCTCCCGCCCCGCGCGGCCGGGGGGACCCGGACCGTCGGGCTGCAGTCCCGTCCCGCCGAGCCTCTAGGCTGTGTCCATCCTGGGGAAAGCAGGAGGCTCCGATGCTTTTGCGGCGGCCGGAACCCCAGGCTCGCGGCCCCAGTTTCCGGCCGGCCGAGGCGCTCAGCGGCCCGAGCGCACGGAAGCGGGCTCGGGGGGCCGGGCGGGGGCCGGACTGGAGATGGCGCCGCCCTCGGACCCGGACTCGGCCGCGGTGCTCCTGGCTGTGCACGCCGCGGTGAGGCCACTGGGCGCGGGGCCGGACACCCAGGCACAGCTGCGGAAGCTGCAGCTGACCGCGGACCCGGAGCGGCCCGGGCGTTTCCGGCTGGAGCTGCTGGGCGCGGGCCCCGGGGCGGTGAGTGGGGGCGGCGGGGCCGCGAGCCGGGACCGGTCCCCTGAGCGGGGCCGGCCGTGTGCCCTTGAGCATTTGGCTTGCCCTTGTGGCCGGCTCCTCGTCGGCAGAACGGGGGCCAGGGCCGTGCTGCCCGTCTTTAGCGGCGTCCCGTGAAGGTTCCGAGGGCGGCGTGCGAAGGGGCGTAGGTCCGGGTCAGTGGCCTGCAGACGTGACCGCGTGTTCCTTTGGTCATCGCGCAGTGGGTGCTGGCGGAAGACCCTGAGCCTGGACTCTGCCCTTCCTCAGGTCAGTCTGGAGTGGCCCTTGGAGTCCGTTTCCTACACGGTCCGAGGCCCCAGCCAGCATGAGCTGCAGCCTCCACCGGGAGGGCCTGGGACCCTCAGCCTGCATTTCCTCAACCCCCAGGAGGCTCAGCGGTGGGCAGCGCTAGTTCGAGGCGCCACCATGGAGGGGCAGAATGGTTAGTGCTCTGGAGTGAAATTCATTTCGGCTGGGCAGGGACCGTGGGTGCTGGGAGAGAACAGGTGTAGCCCCAGTCCCCCAGGCCTGGATGGGGGAAGCGGTGGGAAAGCGGGGCCCACTTTACCCACTGGTGGGTCCTGAACAGGCTCCCCGGAGGGAGAAAGTGGAGAAAAGGCATCCAAGCCGAAAAGCTGGAGCCGGGAGTACCGGACACATGAGGGGCAGAGCAGGGAGGTCCTCCGGGTGTGGGTAAGACTGATGGCATTTGGAGCAGTGGGATGTGTACTCAGTGGGATTGTGACAGGCTCAGATTCGAGGTTAAGACCCGTGTTTCTGTAGGGGCGGCGCAGATAGAGCTGGAGAGAAGAGTGATACCAGAGATGCTTAGCAGATGGAATTGGGTGGATCTCACGGTCACTTAAGTTGAGGAGTTAATGGTTGAGACACAGAGCTGGAGGGAGAATTACTGTGGAGCTCCCAGACAGGGCCTGTGTGCAAGGGTGCGGAGGGGAGAGGAGCTCCCAGACAGGGCCTGTGTGCAAGGGTGCGGAGGGGAGAGGAGCTAGCTGGGTGGAGCTGGGCTGGGGGTGGGGCTCTGAAGAGGTCAACCCTGGGTCACTAGGAGAGAGGAGCAAGAGAATCCAACAGGCAGGCAGTGTGGCAAGCAGAGGAAAGGGCCCATAAACGTATCAGAAGCGCTGTCCGAGGGCTAAGAAGAAACCGTACAGTATGACCTAGGAGAGGCCCAGACAGCACAGCACTTGCGGAGGGAGGAAGGCTGTCCATCCCTTGACCTGCTGGGGACTCAGCACCTGCTCTGTACTAAGTGCTTCAGGCCTTGGAGAGTTTGTGTGACTCAAACTTCAGACCCTGCTCTCTCGGAGCTTGTGTTTCTGGAGGGGAGGCGGGCATATAAAATACGTAAACGTGCGCTTGCAGGGAGCACAGCATTGCGGAGAGACTTGTGGAACCATTGTGTTGTAAGCTTAGAACTAATGGAACCCGGTGTATCGGTCCAAACGTATTGATTAGGTGGAGAGGTTTATTTTTTAATCATTATTTGAACATTTTATTAGAGTGCACAAGTGGTGGTGTGAGGGAGAGGGAAGAGCAGACTCCTTGCTGAGCGGGGAGCCTGATGTGGGGGCTCGATCCAGGACCATGGGATCATGACCTGGGCAGAAGGCAGTTGCTTAACTGAGCCCCCCAGGAGCCCCTAATTTATTTAAGTAATCCCTGGACTCAACATGGGGGTTGAACTCAGGACCCCAAGTCAAGAGTCACATGCCCCATCGACTGAGCCAGCCAGGTGCCCCTCAGTTAAAAAATACTTAGGTTGGGGGGTGTCTGGGTGGCTCAGCTGGTTAAGCGTTCAGTGTGGAGTCAGCTCGAGATGCTTTCTCCCTCTCCCTTTGTCCCTCTCCCCTCCCCCGAGAAATATACGTATATATACCTATATATGTAAGTTGGGGAAAAAATTAAGTAAAATTGTGTCAGATGTTGGAGGAGATGGGAGTGCTGGTAGGGTGGGGTTTGCAGTTTTTTTTTTAAAGATTTTATTTATTTATTTGACAGATCATATAGTAGGCAGAGAAGCAGCAGAGAGAGACACACACAAGCGCGCGCGCACGCGCACAGCAGGCTCCCCGCTGAGCAGAGAGCCCGATGTGGGGCTTGATCCCAGAACCCTGGGATCATGACCTGAGCTGAAGGCAGAGGCTTTAACCCACTGAGCCCCCCAGGCGCCCCATGGAGTTTGCAGTTTTATATAGGGTGGCTGGGAGGGCTTCATTGAGGTGACACGAGTAAAACTGGAAGGTCCTAGTGTGATCTTCACACCCATGTGGCCGGGAAGTAGCAGGTATGATAGCCTCCAGGCAAGAGTGTGTGTGTGACCTCTGGGGCTCCGAGGTTAGGCTGGGCCTCGGCCTGGGGGCACACACATGGGGCCCACGGCTCAACAGTGAGGGCCTGAAGCCATCCTCAGAGCTGCATCAGCAAGGGGTGGGCTGGGCCTCAGGTGGAAGGAAAGAGGGGAGACAGCAGCATGGCCAGCTCTGTAAGGGCGCCCTGAGAAGGCAGTGGGAGCCCCCAGGCTGTCCTGTGCTGATGGTCGAGCCAGTAGAGAGGGTGGATGTCCTTGAGGGCACCAAGAGGGGACGATCGCAATTGCAGGGCTCCTGGTGAGCAGGAAGGGGCAGGCTCCTTCTGAGGATCTGCTTTGGTTCTGCTGGGAGGCCAAGGGAGCATCCCTGGTGGGCTGACAGGGCCTCTTTGGTGGATGGGCCTAGGTGGGGCTAGACGGAACAGCCCAGAAGCATGCCAGAGCCCAAGGAAAAGCCGAGTGCAGCTTCAGCTGTGAGGAGTTGGCAGGGACCTTTTAGGGGTTAGTGAGGACCAAGGTGGAGTCTGACTTAATGTATGGGCAAGAGCCCTGGCATGGGCTGAGGTGAGCAAGGTGGCGGCAAATGTCTTAGAAACCTGAGGTCAGAGAGCAGAGGCCTGGGTAAGAACTCGGCTTGGGGGCTGGATCTCAGGAGACCCCAGCCCACCCCACGTCTTCCCTCCTAGGCAGCCTGTCCCAAGCCCTGGGCCCAGAAATGTGCCCCGTTTCCCCGCCCAGTCCCCCTGAGGTGCCCACGCTCCAGGCCCCACAACCCAAGGTGGATGTTTGCTGGAGCCCGGGAGACGCTGTGGAGAAAGGTAAAGGCAGGTGGCGGAGGGGGCTGGAAGCAGCGGTCTGCTCAGCTGTGATGGCCTTTTCTCTCTCTGCAGAAGAGCTGGTGCGGCGCCTGGCCCGGGCCATCGAGGCTGGGGATGAGCAGGGGGCAGCCCAGGCTGCGGCCATCCTGGCCCAGCATCATGTGGCCCTCAGTGTCCAGCTCCAGGAGGCCTGCTTCCCTCCCGGCCCTGTCAGGTGAGGGCTGCTTCGCTCTGCCCTCCCGGCCCTTCCAGGACCCCCGCTCTTCCCCCTGACCTGTGTTCTGGCCCAGGCTACAGGTCACGGTTGAGGATGCTGCGTCCTCTGCCCATGTCTCGCTGCAAGTTCGCCCCCACTGCACCATTGCGACCCTCCAGGAGCAGGTAAGTGTGGGGTCTGGAGAACCCTGCTGCGGGCAGGGGCCCTTCAGTGACACTGCCTGGCCTTGATGCTCTGGCCCCAGGTGTTCTCGGAGTTTGGCTTCCCACCAGCCGTGCAGCGCTGGGTCATCGGGCGGTGCCTGTGTGTGCCCGAGCGCAGCCTTGCCTCCTATGGGGCCCGGCGGGACGGGGATCCCGCTTTCCTCTACCTGCTCTCAGCCCCTCGAGAAGCCCCAGGTGAGTCCTTGACGTGGACGGGATGAGGAAGGCGAGGCGCAGCCTGACGCGCCCCTGAGCCCCCCTCGTTCCCTGCAGGACACAGCCCTCAGGGCCCCCAGAGGCTGGATGGGGAACTGAGTCGCCTGTCTCCTCCGTCACGGGGGGTGCCCAGAGCTGCGCAGCCGGCCAGCTCCAGCCTCCCCAGCCCCCTTCAGGTGGGTAAGGGGCTGGACAGGGTGGGCCTGGGACTCTCCGGGCCCTGGAAGGAAGGAGGAGCAGCAACTCCCCCCCCGCCCCAGCCCAGCTGGTCCTGCCCTTCTTGCACGTTCATCAACGCCCCCGGCCGGCCCGGCTGCGAGATGTGCAGCACCCAGAAGCCCTGCACTTGGGACCCCCTTTCTGCAGCCTCTGCCCAGCAGCCACCAAAGGTACCAGAGGCCACGGAGGGCACGGGGGTGGGGCGGCAGAGCAAGCGGAATGACCAGTCTCTCCCTCAGCCCCAGGTCACAGAGAGAGAGGATGCCCCAGTCCCTCCAGGCCCGAGGCCCCTGGACCCCTCCTGAAACTCGCAGGGGACCTTTGCTGACTGCTCGCTAAGGATAGCATCTGGGCTGGGGAGGGGCACAGTCTGGAGTCATTAAAGACACTTCTGAGCCAGCCAAGTGCCGCATCTCTGTGCCTTTCTGCAGACTGAGCGGCCCCGGCGGGGGGGGGGGGGGGTGTGCGGCATAGCCCCACTGGGATAAAAGCTGCCAGGGGTGGGGCCCGGCCCTCACCAGCTGGTTGAGGTGACCCAGCCAGGTCTTGGTGTCAACTGGCCAGTACTGGGGTCTCCAAACCGCAGGGATCCTAGAAGCATGGGCCTGAGCTCTTCCCAGAGCCCAAGGGCACGCAGAGCTCCCACAGTCCCACGCTCACCATGCCTCATGCCTCTTGTCCACCCAGAAACCTTGAAGCATGTGCTCTGCTCCCCCCGCCGCCCCCCCGCTCCCACTCATGGGCTGCTCCAGCCAGGTGCTCCTTACCTCCTCCTGGGGGCAAGAACGGCTCAGAACCCAGGAGCCCCAAGGCGGGAGGCGCCATCCCTTAACCTGTTCCAGCTGCCCGGCTGAGCGATCAGGAGCACGTTCTGGGTGGCCTCTGCCCGCTCGGCTCTCAGCGTGACCAGCAGCTGTCTCCCCTCCCCAGCAGCTCCTCCCCAAGCGGGGCCCCGCCCCCCCCCCCCCCCCCGTGAACTGCTGCTCTTGGGACGGAAGCCAAGCGGTTCACATACTGACGCGGGGCCGGTTACCCCACCAGAGCCCCAGGCCTTGCGTGGCCGAGCCAGGCCCTCTTCAGCTCGGCGAGTACTGCCGCTTTCCCTAACAGCTGTTCCCTGTCCCACGCGCCGTACGACGGCAGCCCCCGGTCTCTCCGTGGCAATGCTGGCCACACCCCACAGAGTATCCCGGGAGCTTGAGAGCCAGGATCTCGGTCCCAGAATCCTGTGAAAACTCTGCTCCCATCACAGCAGTTCAAGCCTGTGTGTTGAGAAACTTAATTTATTTCCATGACGGAGACTGAAGATTTTGGAGCCAGAACCCGGTCTCCTGGCCCCTCCCCTCTTTTACCCAAGAAATCAGGGCTTTTCAAGAGGGCCCGCTGAGGCCTGAACAGGTCCAGAGTGGCTCCTGGGCTGGAGGCCCTATCCAGACCAGACAGTGAGCAGACACGGGGCAGGGTCACTTGGGCGGCCGATACGCCAGCTTCCGGCTCTTCAGGACTGACCACTTGTGCCGCTTCATGGCGTAGATCAGGGGAAACAGCAAGCCCATCATCATCAACATCTGGGGACGAGGCAGGCTCAGCCGGAGGAAGCAGAAAGGAACCCTGCCCGGTTCCCAGCCCCTCTCCCACGCCCAACCCTTTTACCTTGAGCCCCATGCGTTTGCGATGGTCGTGCTCTGGCTCAGATGCCCAGCGCAGGAAGGTACACACGTCCTTGGCCACCTGGGACATGGTGGCTGGGGTGCCTGGGCCAAGGACAAGTGGTAAGGGCTGCCCCTAGGGGTCCCTACCCAACCTGGGGTAGCCCTGGAGCCCCCCCCCCACAGAGCCAAGACAGGGTCCTCACCGAGGCTTCACAAGGAACCGAAACCCCTTCGCCCCCAGCACACAGGGGTCTGGGCTAGTTGCAACCGTGGAGGCTGCCCACACACTGGCACGCTGGCACGCACACAGTGCCTGAGCCAAGGACAGTGCAGGGCCCACACGGGAAGCAGCCCTGGCAGCGGGAAGAGGAGGACCCAGCGTGCTGATCCCCAGGCAGGGGTGGCTTCTCACCGTCATCGAACTCCAGAACCTCGTCGTAGATGGGAGGAGCCATGCCGATGGCCTGGCCAGGAAAGTAGGGGTTGAAGTAGAGGCCCTCTCGCAGCGACACCCCGGTGGGTGGCTCACAGTAGCCCGTTAGCAGGGAGAAGACGTAGTCCTCGCCACCGTGCCTGGAAGCAGATCCGTGCCTCCTGAGCCCTGGCACAAGATGGCCCTTTGTCCCCCTCCCACATCCCTCTGCAGGAAGTCCATGTACCTAGCCCGTGTGATGTAGCTGAGGTCAGGGGGCAGTGCCCCGTTGTTGGCTGCTCGAGCAGCCTCCGGGTTGGGGTACGGTTTGGGGAAGTAGTCAGACAGCTTCCCGGGCCGCATGAACATCTCCCCATCCTCGTTGGGGCCATCCTGAACCTCCACCTGCCACGAAGAGCCCATCACAACCCAGCTGTCCACCACAGTGGGAACCCCAATCCCCAGGTCCTCCTCATCCCTGGGCCCCGCACCTCCTCGGCCAGCGCCTTCGCTTCTTCCTCCGTGTAGCAAACACCCACCAGGTGGCGGTAGGCCACGTAGTCCATGCTGTGGCAGGAGGAGCACACCTGCTTGTACACCTGGAAACCCCTCCGGATGCTGGAGAGAGGAGGAGCGTCACAGGCGCCAAGGATTCCACCCCGCCCAGCCCACCCCGAAACGGCCTCAGCCAGCCAGCAGCACACCTGGTGTGGTCCAGGGAAGAGAGGAGGCCACGGTGGGACCACGGATAGCTGGGGGGGTGCAGCTCCAGGTCACTGGCACTCACGGCGGAATGTAGGGCCACAGCTAGCCCTGCACCCCCTGCCGCCAGCATGCCCAACGCTGACAGCATCACTTTCCGGCCCCGGGACAGACTGGCCTTCGACGACAAGGACACTGCCTGCAAGAGCCCCGCTCAGCGCCTGCCAGACCACCACCCGGCCCTACCTGGGGATCCGCCTCTCAGCGCCCACCTCTCTCACTCATCCACGCAGCACCCGCCACTCCTGCGGGGCACCGCGGCCCCCGCCCCCCGTCCCCGCCGCGCCGAATCCTCGACCGCGATTCGGCCCTGAGGAGGAGGTGTAAGGCTGCTGTTGGGCTCCGGGGCTGGGGACTAGGTGGATGCGAGCAAGGGTGCCCGAGCAGGCCAAGGTCACAAGGCAGCTGTCCGAGATCAGGCTGAGGTCACTTCAGGACGCAGGCCCAAGCTGGAAGGCCAGAGCAGGAGCGGGCCTGGGCGCGCCCTCCGGGAGAAGCCCCCAGCCCCGAGCCCGCAGCGAGCCCGCCCCGCCGCCCCCCACGCTCCGCACAGGGCGCCTCTGCTACTCGGAGGACTGGGCTCCTGGTCCTGCTCCCGGGCTCCTCAGGTCGGCAGGCGGCGGGGATCCGGCCGGGGCAGAGGCGCCGGGAGGTCGAGGCCGCTCCCTCGCTGCCCGGCCCGCGCCCAGAGCCTCCCCGCCGTGACCTTCAAGGGCTGCGGGGCCACAGGCGGACGGGGTCGCGGCCAGAGCTCACCTGAGGCGTCCGCAGCGGGAGCTGGCCGGGCCGCGCGCCGCACAGCAGACCCCGGGCCCGCGCGCCCGGCAACCGCGCGCCCCGCGGGCCCAGCACCGCCCCGCGAAGCGAAGCCGTCGCCGCCGCCGCCGCCATCTTGGCCCTCTCCGGCGCGACGACAGCTCCCGTCAGGCCCCGCGGCGGTCCCGGGGCCCAGATGTCGCGAGAGCTTGAGGGGCGGGGCCGGGGCCTGGCCGTCGGGGCGGGGTTCCGCCGAGCCGCGCTCCTCCCGGGACCGGAAGTGGGCGGGGCCCGAGCTGGCGGCAGCGGCGGCTCCCGCGGCTTCCCGGTCCGGTCGCCTCCCGCCCGTCGCGGGCTTCCGCGCAGCGTTGTCTGCCGCCCGGGGCAGGGTCCGGGCTCCGGGTGGGGGCGAGCAGGGCCGGCGGGCCGGGGGCCCCGCGCAGGGCCGGACACCGCTCGCCTTCATCCGCCCGACGAGGATTTACGTTATCGCCGGGAGCCGTCGGGGCATCCCAGGCCCTCGGAAGCCCGGCGTCGGCCGTCGGTGGGAGCGCAGGGCCGGGGTCTCGCGGCCCCGCACGTGCCAGGAGGACGCTCGCAGCGACGGGTCTGGAGACCCGCCCGAGGCCTGCCGCGTCCCGGCGGACAGCTGTCCCGGAGGCGTCTCCCCTTCTCCTGGGCTGGAGCCGCCGCTGGCCCCGAGGGGCGGAGCCGCGTCCCCGCCGGAGCCGCTGCGGACAGTGTCTGCAGCCCTGAACGCCCCCCGCGGAGCCCCCTGCGCCGGCCCCGGCCCGGGCGAGCTGTGACCTGGGGCCGTTCGCCGAGGGCGGCGGGCGGGGTGGTGGGTTCAGATCCGCCAGCGGCCACGGGGCGCGGAGGTCGGGGAGCAGCACCCCCGGGGGGCCGCGCCGGAGCAGGAAAGGGTCCCGAGACGAACGCGCGCGACCCGAAGACGCCCCCGGGGCTTCTGTGTGGTGGACCGGCGGGCTCGGCGCTCCGTTAGGGGAAGCGCCCGGCAGGCGTGCGGCCCGCCCGGCCCAGGGCTCGCGGGCGGCCTCCGCGGGGCGCAGAGCTGCCGGGAGAGCAGGGAGCTTAGCGCTTGCTGGTTTCCGAGCACGTCCGCCGGCCGCGAGCCCACCCGAGGGCCGAGCGAAGGGGGACTCGGGGCTCCGCAGGGCGGATGCTGCAGGCCAGGCGGAGCCGGTTGTCTCGTCCCGGCGCAGACAGCCCCGACCGGCCCCTGCCGGCCCCTGCCGGCCCCTGCCGCGTCCTTGGAGTACAATTCCCAGCGTCGCCACATCCTAGGACTTAAAATGTCTAGTTCGGGCGCCCCCGGGCCCAGCCACTGACGCGTGGGCCTTCGGCTGGGCTCCTGCTGCGGGGTCCTGGGACCGAGCCCCGCGCGGGGCTCCCTGCTCGGAGCGGAACCTGCTTCTGCGCCTGCCCCTGCCCTTCCCCCTGCTTGTGCGCGCGCTCTGACATATTTAAGATTTAGAAAATCTAGTTTTCTTTCTTTTTAAAGATTTTGTCAGAAAGAGCACAGCAGGGGGAAACAGGCTCCCTGCTGAGCAAGGAGCCCCCTGCGGGCTGGATCCCAAGACCCCGGGGATCATGACCTGAGCCACTCAGACGCCCCTAACATGTCTAGTTTTCAGCAACAACAACAAAATTATAGAACACTGTAAGAGAGCAAGATGGAGCCTTTCACTCAAGCAGGAATCTGTGTCCGGCAACGCACAAGCCGTTGAAGGTACCGCAGCCATGAGATCTGCCACATCCAGCACTGATAACCGGCAGAAGCAGAGGGCATCTGCAGGCCCCAGACCCGTTAGATCCCTTTAAAAGGGAGGGTTTTGCAGCAAACGTCAGACTCTTCGGACAGACCCCCCTAGACAGACAGACCCCCTCAGTCCAACCGCTTCAGAAAGGCAGCTGCTGCCCAAGCCTCGCCAGGCCGGTCTCCGAACAGGACTGAGACACGTCCCTGCTTGAACAGAAGCAGCAAGTGCCCAGAGCTGACCAGAGCTGACCGGGGCAAGACCCGGGCCCCCTCTCAGCCGCTGCCCGCAGACGGACTTGGGGTTCGGTTCGTGAACTCCCTGCCCCCTTGTTATCTTGTCTGTGGCGTGCCGTGTAAGAAGCCAAGTCAGTCACACGGTGAAATGTCACTGAGTCTGGAATCCTACACCCGCTTTACGTTACCCTCGCTTCAGGACCGAATAAAGCCTAAAGCCAACACTGCGAAGACACGACTCGTGTGCGCGCCTTCGCAGCGGGCTCAGGGCACCCTCAGAAGTGATTCAGGGGCACCTGGGTGGCTCAGTGAGTTAAGCCTCTGCCTTCGGCTCGGGTCATGATCTCAGGGTCCTGGGATCGAGCCCCGCATCGGGCTCTCTGCTCAGCGGGGAGCCTGCTTCCCCCTCTCTCTGCCTGCCTCTCTGCCTACTTGTGATCATTGTCTATCAAATAAGTAAATAAAATCTTAAAAAAATATTTATTACAGAGAGAGAGCGTGAGCACGAGCTGGAGGAGGGGCACAGGGAGATGGAGAGAGAGTCCCAAGCAGCCTCTACACAGAGCATGACATGATGCTCCATCCCATGACCCTGAGATCATGACCTGAGCTGAATCCAGGAGTTGGATACTTAACCGACTGAGCCACCCAGGTGCCCCTAAAGGTTTTAAGTCGTCTCTACACCCAATATGGGGCTCAAGCTCACAACTCCGAATGCAAGAGTCCGTGCTCCACCGACTGAGCCCGCCGGGTACCCCAGAATTAATTTACTGTTACTCAAAATCAGATTATTAATAAGGATGTTGACTGTAAGCTCAAGGGCAACACTGAGAAAATTACTCAAAAGATATAGTCAAGGGGCGCCTGGGTGGCTCAGTGGGTTAAAGCCTCTGCTTTCGGCTCAGGTCATGGTTTCAGGGTCCTGAGATCGAGCCCCGCATCGGGCTCTCTGCTCAGCAGGGAGCCTGCTTCCTCCTCTCTCCCTCTGCCTGCCTCTGTGCCTGCTTGTGATCTGTCAAATAAATAAATAAATAAATCTTTAAAAAAAAAAAAGATATAGTCAAAGAAATAATAGGATGGTACATTGGAAAACATCTATCTTTATCACAAAAAGTTAAAAAATGGGTTAAAGTTTCTAATTAAAAGGTATAATGGATTTTAAAATACACCTATATGGGGTATCTATAAGAAACAAACTTTAGATTCCAAGACACAAATAGGAAGTAAAAATGTGGATAAAGATACACCATCTATACAACAGTAATCAAAGGAGAGCCGGGGAGCCTGTACTAATACCAAACAGCATAGACCTTAAAATAAAAAATTGACACGAGTTAAAGGGGGACATTTTATAATGAAAAAAAAAAAGAAGAATCCATCAAGAAGACATAACAATCATGAAGATACATTTGCCCAAATGCCCCAAAATACGTGAAGTAAAAGTTGACAGAATGGAAGGAACAAACAGACCTAATTGAACAATAACGGACTTTCCATACGTTCCGCAGCAGACGGAACAACTAGACAGACGCTGAGCAGAGAGGAGTCGCGCGATGCTAGAAGCAGCCAGCCGGCGGGACACGCACCCTTCTCAAGTGCTCGTGGAACATTCTTCAGGACAGACCGTGACGTTACTCGATCAAACAAGTCTCCACACATTTAAAGCTGCTAATACCACACGAAGTACGCTTTTTGACAATATAAATTAAAAATAACAGAAAGAAATCTGGGAAATTCACAAATACGTGAAAATTAAATACCATATTCCTAAATAACCAACTAGTCAAAGAAGAAAATTAGAAAATGACTTGAGGTGAATGAAAAGGAAGACGAAGCAGATGGAAACACGCAAGCTGCGTCCCAGCAGCACCACCAGGGACCGTGGGGCCCCGCTCTCCTCTCGCTGTGCCCGGAGAGCAAACGCGCTCGCACCGACGCTTGTCCCCGAGCCGTGGTTGGTGCATCTCCCACAATGACCATCAAAGAGCAAACCACCGAAACGTCCAGTCCCTGAGCCGTCGGGCAGATGAACAGAACGTGGCATGTTCCTCAGCCATGAGGGAAGTTGTGACACAGCACGACACGGATGAACCCTGAAGGCGTAGCGCTGGGTGAAGAGCCGGACGAGAGACCACAGACGCACGACCCCGCTCCTATTCAGGTCTGAGTCTGGAGCTGGAACGAAGGTTGACGGTGTCTGGGGCTGGACGGGGAGGCGGCGCAGGTACAGGCTGCTCCCGGGGCTGAGAAAGCGTGCTCTGGAACAACACAGCCCCTGGCGACCACGGCGAGGACTCGGGCTCTGTCCCGAGAGTGATGGGCCCCCTGAGGAGAGGCAGTTGCGCGGTGGCCCAGGGTTGCGTGCACTTGCTCGGGAAGACGGTCCGTCGGGTGGGAAGTGCTCAGGTTGGGAGACTGTGACTTAGAGACGACCATCACAGCATCCAGGAGGCACAGGAGACACACTGGGGCCTCAGAAGAGGGGCCTGGGCGGGTGACAGGGCCTGAGTGTGGGCGTGAAGGCAGCTGGGGCCTGCAGGCCCCGTTCTTGGACAACGGTGCCCTGAGCTGCCCACACCGGAACCTCAGGCGGGGAGGGGCGACCAGGCAAACGATTCGCAAAAGCTCAGGAAACCTGGGACAGGCAGGTGAGTTGCTAGGAGCACCCCAAGGCCAAGTAGGGCGTCCACAGTGGGCCTGCTCGTGCGGAGGCTGCTGGGCATTGGGAGGTAGGTGAAGGGTGGCCTGGCTGGCGGGGGGGCCGCTACCCTCACCTTCCTGTGCTCACCCCACACCCTAAGCCATAGGTGACCCTCCAGGCCCCTTCAGGAGCTGTCACGTCTGCCCCCTGGAGCTTCCTTGGGACCTCCAGAGGCTCTCCCTCTTTTTTCCCTCTCATTCAACAAATGCAGATGAGTATTCTCCCGGGTGTCTGGCTCTGAGCTGGAGAAGCGGCAGGGAGTAGGACAGCTTCACCGCCCCCCACGGTGCTTCGGTTCTGGGTCGTGGGAACAAGCAAGGAAGGAGCGCGCATGATTAAGCCCGACTCTGGGCGCGACAGCTGGCGGCTGAGTCCCCGTCCTCTTGTGAGCTGGGTTCGGCGACAGCCCCTTGTGTGTTGGTTGGAACTAGAAGCAAGCGTCAGAGAGTAACAGTGCTACGTGAGGCAGAAATTTGCTCCCCCTTCCACGACACGGAGCTCCGCAAACGGGTTGCACTGCCTCTGGGTGGCCGGGGAGTGCCCGCTCCTCTCCCTGCATTCCCAACACAGGCTGTGCCTCCTGCGGCGACACACTCCACGCTCCAGCCATCACTTCCACATTCCCGAGGGCAGGAGAACGGATCCGGCTCAGAGGGCGGTGTCTCTGGGTGAAGTCTTTGCCTGGTACTCACCCTGGAAGCTTCTGTTCTTATCCTACTGGCCACAGCATAGTCACAAGGCCACACCTCCAGGCACAAGAATCCATATTGGGGTCTATGACTACAGAGGACAGACACTGGACACAAGTCGCAGACCCTGCCACACCATCAAAATAAAGCATTTATGACCTGAGATTCTTTCCTTGTATGTCTGACCTACATTTTCACAGCCTGACAGTTCCTTGTTTTTCTCTTTGAAGCAGATTCCATGCGCAGCATGGAGCCCAACGCACGGCTCGAACTCACAACACTGAGATCAAGACCTGAGCTGAGATTGAGTCGGACAGTTAACCGACTGAGCCACCCAGGTGCCCCTGACATTTCCTTGTTTTAAAAAATGTACTAGAGGGGCGCCTGGGTGGCTCAGTCCGGTAAGTATTTGCCTTCAGCTCAGGTTGTGATCTCAGGGCTCTGGGACTGAGTCCCTCGTCCTGGTCTCTGCTCCATGGGGAACCTGCTTCTCCCTCTTCTCCCTCTCCTCCTTGCTGGTGCTCTCTGTTGCTATCTCTGTCAAATAAATAAAAATAAAATCTTAAAAAAAAAGTATCACACAAATGACATTACTGAAAATCAGAACAGAAATTCTGCTTCCCTGGGGCACCTGGGTGGCTCAGTGGGTTAAGCCTCTGCCTTCGGCTCAGGTCGTGATCTCAGGGTCCTGGGATCGAGCCCCGCATCGGGCTCTCTGCTCAGCAGGGAGCCTGCTTCCCCCTTTCTCTCTCTCTGCCTGCCTCTCTGCCTACTTGTGATCTCTGTCAAATAAACGAAATCTTAAAAAAAAAACCTCTGCTTCCCTGACAAACCAACTTTGTTGTTTCCATGGTTTCAGATCTTTTGTGTAGACAAGAAGAATTCTGCACAGGTAAGTTCAGAGCACACCTGAGATGATCTTTCTGCTTTTGGCTCCACTTGTATGTCCCATGATTTAATGTGTTTTCAAGATTTGTACTTTAAGTGACTAAGTGCGGTAAAAAAAAAAATGGCTGATTGAGGCCAAAGCCTGGCTGAAAGGCCCAGAAGGGATTTTGTATTGGCTGCCAGCCCACAGAGACAGAGATAGAGACGGCGGCGACTAAGACAGAGCGGAGATGTCTGTGCGACTCAGAAGACAGCGAGGCCATGGAGTAGCGGTGCCTGACCTGCCAGAGGGCACTCAACAGAAGCCAGCCGGGGAGCCGGCCTGGGGGTGCGGGCGTGACCGCTCTCTCAAGCCTCAGGAGCAGAACAACAATAAAGGAACTACAGGCCCCCGCGGGATCATGGGAACAGCTGGCCAGCGACAGGCTGCTCGTGCCCGTGGGGTCTCCAGCACCCTGACGGCACCACCAGCCCCCACCATGCCGGACACACAGGCGCCCATCAGCAGACAACCAGCACGCCCTGGGGGCTAGACCTTCCCCCACAGGCCTTCCCAGGCCCCACCGTTCTGGGTGTGGCACTGAAGGACACAGATCCCGAGACCACTCTGCAGGCAGGGCCACTCTGCCTTCCGCCCGCCGCATCAGGTGCCGGCAGAGGCCCTCCTGGGAGCGGACGTGACGCTGGCATTGCTAAAGAATCCGTTTTGCTCTTTTCTTCCTTCCAGGACAGACACCAACCTCCCAACTCCTTTCCGGGGTCCCGTGGCCTGCCTGCTCCTCCGGGGCCCTGGGTCTGGCCTGGACTGGCTCAGCTCCAAGGAAGCAGATGCCCCTTCCAGACCCACATAGAGGTTCTGGCCCCGGGAGGTGCCCCGCCCACACCATAAGCCTCTGCAGGGCTCCAGCTCTGGCCCCTTTGCCCCTTCCACGCCAGCGCTGCAGACGGAGCAGCGTGGTCTCTGGACACCCAGAGCCCATCAGGCCCCAAGCCCTGCTCCCATCGTTTCCTCCTACCCAGCACCCTGCCTCCTACCGTGACGCTCGTGGGGCGGGGGCCCGGGCAGGGTCAGCATGCGCCATTTCCAGGTCCCGGGCCCAGCGTCCACCCGAGGCTCTCCTCTGAGGCTCATGTGGCTCGGGCCCTCACTCCTGCCAGCAGCAGGGGGTCGGGCAGTGCCCTTCGAGAAGGAAGTATCTGGGAAGGCCAAGCCTTCATGCAGAGCTTCTCGCCCAGGGGCTTGGGCGGCCCCACACGGACAGCAGACACTCGGTCAGCAGCACCAAAGGGCAGCTGAAACAAAGCTGTTTATTTCCCAAGAAGACAACGTGAGGACGCACCACCCGAGTCCTGACGCTGCAGAGCTGTGAGCCGCACGTCACTTCCAGAAAAGCAAGTTCCAGAAGAGCAGCCAGCAGGGGTAGAGGCCCAGAGCCAAGAACGGGAAGAGCAGGGCACCGTAGGTGTGGTGCTCCAGCACACCCTGGGCCAGAGCCGCCAGGAAGAGCTGCCAGCCCTCGGCCAGGGACAGCGGGGCCTCCTGCAGCTCCCGCCACAGGAACAAGCTGCCCAGGAGCGTGGCTGCTGGGCTCGTCAGCACCAGCAGGGCAGCGTAGAGGGGCCTGGGAGGAGAAGCGGGATCAGGTCGGGCTCAGGGCAGGGCAGGGGAGTGAGGGGCATCCCGTTGAGGGCACGGGGGTGGGAAGCAGCGCAGGCCCTGGGCTTGGGGAGGGGCAGCGCGCGCTGAACTCCGCGACGGGGGGCAGGCCGGCACGTACCGGGGCCCGAAGGGCGTGGTGAGCGCGGCAGCAGGCGCCATGGTTGCCGCCAGCAGGAAGCCCAGCGAGAAGTTGGTGAGGGTGATGCAGGCCAATTGGAGTGCCAGGTAGATGAGGGCCACCAGCTTCAGTGCCATCCAGCCTCTGTCTGGGGCCCGTGCGCTCACCACCCTGCAGGACAAGGGGCTCAGACGCCTGGCCTGTGTGGCCAGGGTGCCCCCCCCCCCCCCCCCCCGCCCCGCCCCTCACCGCTGGGTGCTGTGTGGAAGGGCTAGGCCTGCCGCGTAGATGGCCAGCAGGGTCAGCACCACGGCCTCGGCCTCGGCTACAGGGAAGTGCTGGGTAGCCACGTGTTGGCCCAGCACTGGCAAGATGTAGAGGGCCAGACCCATGACCTGTGAGATCAGCAAGGGCGCCACAAGCGAGGCCAGCCCGATACTCTGCACGGTACATAGACAATGGGAGATGGGTCCTGGGGCCAAGGGAGCCCCAAGGATCCTCACCACCACCCCACCAATCGAAACTGAGCTGCCGCAGGGACGACCGCCTGGAATCCCGTCCCAACAGCAAGAGTTGGGGGACCATCACCTGTGCTGGCAGGACGGGAGGGCTAGGTCCAGAGGCCCCCCCAAGCTCCTCGGGGCCCACTCCGGCCTCATGCAATTGCATCCACAGCTCCAGAGCATGGTCTAGTCAAGGACCCTGACGACAGGTGTGATGGAACCTACCCGGCAGCAGACCCAGGGCTCACTCCCACTCCCCCAAGGACAGAGGGCTCTCCCCAGCCTAGAGTGGAGAGGACCTGGGCTGGCCACACGCAGACAGGGGGTTCAGAGGATATTTTGAGACCAAGGACCAAGAGCAGAAAGCCGGCAGCGGGCATGTAGAGGCCGATGGACACGAAGCGGGACAGCGCCGGGAGCAGGTAGAAGAAGAAGGACTGGTGCAGGCGCTCCAGGAGGTGGTTGAGCTTACGGAACACGCCCTCCAGGGCCCTGCCAGGGTGGGGCGGTGTCACGGCCACCCAGGCCCCCCAGACCACCCCCCTCCCCCACCCCAAGCACGGAAGCGGGGGCCAAAAGCCACTTACTTGCCCACTGCCACCAAGTCATACTTATATTGTCGGAAGCTGTTAATGCCACGGATGGTCAGGGCCTCCACACGGTAGCGCAGGAAGAGGCCATGAGGGCCATGGGGGCGGCCAGAGGCCTGCTGCAGAACCATGAGCAGCAAGGTCTGCAGACCCTGCAGCGGCCTGTCGACGGATGTCCAGTCCTGGGGCTGCAGCTTAAAGGGTTTAGGGGCAGGGTGAGAGAAGCCCCCCAGAGAGAAGCCCGTGGGAAGCCCAGGCTTCCCTGGAAGGCAGCCCCCCTTACCTTGCCCTGCAGCGTACACAGCAGCCCCCCTTTCTGACAGAAAGTCTGGAAGAGGTTGAGTAGATCGAGGTTGGGCAGCTGCCCGTTGAGCCCCTCCACAGCCACATCGAGGCTAGTGACCACGTCACTGCTCAGCTCCAGAGCCACGGCTGCCTGGATGGCCCCTGCCCGGCCCTGCAGAGGGGATGACTGCATGCCTGTGGGAGCAGGGGAAGGAGCTGCCTATGGGGGGCCGACAAGGACAGTGGTTCACAGAGAGGGACTGGGGCAGACGACCCACCGGTGACGTTGACGTCATGGTAGGCCTCCAGCCAAGCCTCCGTGCCCAGAAGGTCTTGTTCTGTCACCAGGAAAATGATGTCTTTGGCCCAGTAAATCTGCCCTGGACACCAGACGCTAGGTCAGCAGGGCCTGGGACAGGGGCCAAACCATCCCTTGCCCGCAGCAGCCCCCACGCCTCACCCCGAAAGTGAGCAGCAAGGGCCAGCAACAGTCCCACAGCCTGGCTGTTGGTAGAGTCCGGGCCACAGGGGACGGTGAGCACCAGGGACTCGGTGCTGGCAGCGCGCGGGGCCCGCAGGATGCCATACACGTTGGTACCAGACACCATCTGCACACAGTATGGGGAAGACTTAACACCACCCTACCCCGGAGGGCTGCCCTCCCTCGTCGCCCTAGACTGCCCACCAGGGACTTCCCGGGCCGGGACATGCCACCACCGGGCTTCCCGGCCCCAAGCCACCCTCCCCAGGTGCGTTTTGGTCCCAGGCACTCCTCTCCCCCACAATACGTAGCGCTCGTGGGTCTCGTCAGGAAAGGGCAGCCTCCGCGAGAAGCTCTGCGTGTACACTTCCAGCCCCACTGAGCGCATCGTCCGCTCCAGCCACGCCACTGGCAGAGCCCTAGGGACACAAGGAAAGCCGCTAGGCAGAGCTCCCTGGCCTTGGCCTCCACTATCTCCCCACGCCCGCAGCTGTCCGGCTCACCCCGACTTCCTGCGCTGCGCAGCGAAGTCTCGGGCCAAGCCCCGGGCACGGTCCCCGCCCGCGAACTGCTCCTCCACCATGGTGGAGCCCATGGCGTTCTCCGACATGTAAGTGCGCTGGGTCAGCGGCGGGAAAGCCAGCGCCAGGAACCAGGCGATTCCCGCCACGTAGCTCAGCACGCTGCGGGGAGAGGGAACGACGGCGCCCCGGAGCATTAGCGGGTCCGCGCGCTCCGGCCCGGGCCCTCCCCGCGCTGCACCGGGGACGGCGGGGGCGTGTCGGAGGGACCCGGCCCGGGGGTCCGGGCGCTCGGGACGTCGGACGGGGGAGCTGAGCCGCGGGCCCGAGCAGCCCGCGGGGGCACGGGGGGCGCCGGCAGCCCGAGCCCCGGGTCCCCCGGGGTCCCGCCCCGGGCCCCGCGCTCACCAGAGCGGCGCGTTGAGACGCAGCACGAGGCGGGCGAGGGCGCGGCGGCGCACCGGGTCCGACAGGAGGCCCATGGCGGGGAAGGGCGGCTCGGGGGCCGCGCTCGGCCGGCAGTTCCGGCCGCGCTCCCGTCGGGCCGCCGCTCCGCGCCCGCTCGCACTTCCGGTCCCGACGGCCCTCGCGCTGCCGCGCATGCTCCGAGCAGAGGCGGTACGCGCTCCCCGGCAGGACGCGCCTTCAGGACGAGCACGGCGACCGGCGGCCGCCCGCGCTGGCGGGGCAGAGCCAGAGAGCTCCGACCTGCAGAATCAGAGACGGAAAATCAGGGCAGGCTGCGGGGTTCTGGAGAGCTCGGCCGCCCAGCGTTCCGAACGAGCCGCCACTGGCAGCGACAGGTCGAGCGCCCCGGGGGGCGGGGAGGAGGGGAGGAGGAACGTTCGCTTGGACTGAGAGACCGGGGCATTGGCAGACCCATCCTACGGATGTTGGTCAGAAACGGCAGCGAGTGCACAAGGGAAATCCCCGTGTGAACGCAGCGCCGAGGTCATCAGGGTCAGATAACCACAGGCATTAAAGTGCAGATGGTACTCTTGGCCAAAACGGGTTTCAAAGGAGCTGGGGTATGTGGAGTAAAAAGCAGGGAGCACTCCTGTTCAGATGGGGAGGTGTGCAGTGAGGGCTGCAGGGGCTGGTGCTCAGGGCACAGGTGTGTAGAGAGGACCCGCCTCCTTCCCCCAGGTGAGAACCTGTATCTGTTGTACTTTTGTTGGAGTCTGAGGCTCAGTAGGCCCAAAGGGCTCCTAGGGTGTTAGGGGCCATTCGGTCCAAGCTATAGTCCGGAAGGTGTGAGACATGGCCCCCACATCGCCATGGTGGGCCCCAGATGTGCTGGCGGGAAAACAGACTCCCGTCCCCGTCCGATGGCTTGGCTCATTATGTCAGGCCGCACCTCACTGCTCAGCGGCCTTAAACCCTTCCTGGCGGGGCGCCTGGGTGGCTCAGTGGGTTAAGCCTCTGCCTTCGGCTCAGGTCATGATCCCAGGGTCCTGGGATCAAGCCCCGCGTCGGGCTCTCTGCTCTGCGGGGAGCCTGCTTCCTCCTCTCTCTCTGCCTGCCTCTCTGCCTACTTGTGATTTCTCTCTATCAAAAAAATAAATAAAATCTTTAAAAAATAATAATAAATTAAAAAAAAAATAAATAAATAAAATAAACCCTTCCTGGCACAACTGCTCTGTCCATCCTGGGACACGCCTGCCCCAACTTCTTCTTTGGGCTGTGACTCTTGAGACTGCAAGCGGTATGTCCTTCATGTGTGGGGGACAGGGACGGTCCCTAGTCACCCCTGAGTGCAAGCACCAGGCCAGGCTCTGAGGGTGTGGAAGCACCGTGGGAGATCAAAGTTCAGCACACTGTGTGTGGGTTTTATTCTGGGAACGGGGGAGGGGGTGCAGATGTTCAGTCCCCTAACAAAACAGAGGCCTCACGTACATGCTGTCGAACCACACGGTCCAGCAGTGTGTGCACGTCCCGGGCAGCCCGGGCAGCGGCCTCCAGCACCTGCTCTAGGTGGTCCTCGTGGAGCCTGGCATCCATTTCAAGCAGCGCAATCTGGCCTGAGGCCGGCAGCAAGGCCAGGGCCAGCTGGGGACCGCCAGCGGCCTCTTCCACGTGGCTGAGGTCCGCCAGAGCTGTGCTGTCCACAAAGCCCGCGGAGCAGGCGCACACAAAGTCCCGCATGGGTACGCCAGCGTCCAGCACTGCCAGCGTGGCTGCGTTCACACAAGCTGCGTAGGTCCCGCCGTCTGCCTGTAGCACCTGCAGCGGCCCCCATGGCACCCATCCATTAGCCTCCTGACCCCTGGCTCCCAAACCCTCCTCGCCCCTGTCCCCCTCCCTCCCTGGGCTGATGGCTGCTGCTTGCTCACCTGCACATAAATATCAATCTGGGAGCGTGGGTGCAGCTGTGTAAGGATGGCCGCCTCAAAGGTCTGACGCAGCTGCAGGCCCATCTCACAAGACTTACGGTCCCCATGTGGTCGCCGCTTGCGTTCACCTGTGCTGAAGGTCGCAGAACTATACTGACAGTTCACCAGGGCCCTGTCTGGCAGGGCTCGTGCTCGGGAGCCTCGGATCTGGGGGAGGAAGGACACATAAGCCGGGCTCATTGCTCCCCAGCTCCCACTACACCTTCCTCTGGCTCAGACCCAGGCCTCAGCTTCCCTCTCACCCTCCTACTTTACCTGCAAAGCAGCCTGCGGGAGGGCTGCGTGGCCAGTCTCTAAGCCACCACCACGCCTGGACAGGATTTCTCTTAACAAGGCCTCCCCGTTTCTTCCCTGCCTCATGCCCTCCCAACCGTTCTCCACTGGTAGCGAGAGCTGATAGGTTCGCAAATACCAAGTCTGACGCCCTCAGCTCTGCTGCCTCCCAAGCTGCCCCACCACGTGCGACATAAAATCCTCAACAGTGTCCCTGATCAACAATGCGACGAGCTGCTGCTTCCCTAGAGACGACTGGATCCCACTTGGAGTCCTTCCGCACCTCCCCACGGGCAGCCCTCTGCCCCGCAAACCCGCCTCGCTCGTCGCCACCCCGGCGCTCCTCCCTTCTCCGGCAATGGAGACGGGGCGGTAGAGCCGGGAGATTCATCCACAGCCCCGTCCTCACGGAGTTTACGGCCCACGGAGGCGTCCAGCGAAGGGCTCCGGAACGGACGCCCGAGGTGACTGGGTAGGGAGAGGCAGGGAAGCGTGGGGTGGCAGCGGAGGGGCTCGCCACGCAAGTCAGGTACATCCCGGAGGATGACGCCAGCGTGGTCAGTCCGGAGCGGGAAGGGAGAGGAGGAGAGACGGGGGAGGGGAGGGGAGGGGGCGCGCCCGGTGCTTCCGGAACAGCGAGAGTCGGTGCGCCGGAGGGAACGCGCCGCCTCACACTGCAGGGGCCCCGGCTTTGACTCCGAGTGCGCCGGGGCGGCCCCGAGGATGGGCTGGGCGAACGGAGGCGCGCGCCGGCCGGGCCCCCCGAGGCTCAGCCCGGCCCGGAGGCCCCGCGCACCGCCCGGCTCGCGCGCCCCACTCGCCTCGTGCGGCCCGTAGACCACCGCAAGCGCCTTGGTGTTGCCTTGCTCGATGTAGGCCGAGCCGTCGGCCTGCGCGAACACGCCCATCCGCGCCTGGATCTTGCGCAGCTCGCCAGCGCGTCGTCCGTCGACGCGGTAGCCCTGGTCCGACAGGAGCTCCAGGCCCGCCATGGCGCCCGGCCGCGGGCCGCGCTTCCGTCTCCCGCAGAACTACACTTCCCGGCGGCTCTGACCCACACTTCCGGCCTCCCGGGGCCCGCGGTTTCCGGCGGTCCGGCCCCCACTTTCGGCCCTGGAGAACTACGGTTCCCCCAGGGGGCCCGGCGGCCCTACTCCTCCCACTTCCGGTCCTGGGAAACTACGCTCCCCCGCGGCGCGACTTCCCTCAGTTCCGGCCCCGGGAATCTTCGGCGGTGCTGAGCCAGGGGAGGAAGACGGTGCCTGCTGCCGTTTTGGGGAGCTGTCTCATGGCGGCCAGAGGTGGAGACTGGCTCGGGGAAGAACTGCCCCCGTCGCGCCCCTTCGGGTTCACCGTGGGGGCGGTTCTCGTACTCCCCGGGCCCTCCCTGGCTTCTACCGCACGCGCCTGCACCCCGCTGGCCCCGCCCCCCCACCGAGCCCCTGCGCCTGCGCCTGCGCCGGTCGTTCCCGCCCCGCCCCTCCCCCCGCACCTGCCCCTGCACCTGCGACCGGCTCTGGCGGCCGGTTCCTCTCTGCGACTCGGCCTGCCTGGAGGCTCCTTGTGGGTCCGGTGGGCGGACGCAGCTCGAAGGAAGCCGCGTCCTGTCTCTGATGGTTTCTCGTTCTTTTGCAGCCATAAATGCATTCATTCTCCCAAGCTGAGGCATGCATTGTGTTTTGTCCTTACAGTTTAGTGTTTACGTTTGTCTCTTAAAAATACTGACGATGCGGCGCCTGGAGGGCTCAGTGGGTTAAGCCTCTGCCTTTGGCTGGGGTCATGATCTCGGGGTCCTGGGATGGAGCCCGGCGTGGGGCTCTCTGCTCAGCCGGGAGCCTGCTTCCCCCTCTCTCTCTGCCTGCCTGCCTCTCTGCCTACGTGTGATCTCTGTCTGTCAAATAAATAAACAAAAAGTCTTTTTAAAAAAAAAAACATAGGAAAATTCCTCTGGAAACTTCCTTTATCTCTAAACCCCCAAGATACGTGGTGGCCATCATTGCCCCAAGCA